TGCACATATCATAAATCCTGAACAATTAAACGGAAATGGCGCCCGCATACAAACGACTATGGGAACGATGCACGTGATTACCGAATGTGCGTGCGAACTTTTGCTAACTCAATGAATACCAGGAAATAGGACACAACCTTAGGTGGGAATAAATAAAAATTTATGACACCAAGAACGTGAGAAAACATCCAGAAATGAATGAGATACAAGGACATGAAGTTAGAAACCTGAAAACGCGTGGGAAGACAGCTTTAAGAGGTCCAGAGTCCTAAATAAAATACATAAAAATATGATATCTCCAAGGACGACCTACTATAACAACGAACAATACATATGGAGGATTAGGATGTGATAATACAAAGGGGAATCAGGGAATATGAACGAAATTCACGAAAACCACTAAACTACAATGGACCATGGCGGGAATTTTAGGGAATGATGTTCTAATGAAGTGTCATATCCATACAATCCCGACCTCCGCTCCGGGCTCCCGGAACTCCGAACTCCGACTTCCGGAGTCCTACTTCCCTTCCGTCACTTTCTCCTTGCCGACTCCCAAGAGGTTATCCCACCTCCGGCTCGGACACCACCTTCGGTCCGACTCCGGAACATTCCGGGTCCGACCCCAACCTCGACACCTTCCAGACGAGTATGCAACACCTATGCTCCTGACTCCGGGCCTCCGCTCCGGAATCCCGTTCACATCTCTGTCTCTGGAACCTCCGGTCTTAGCTCCGACCTCGGACTTTGACCCCACCTCCGCTTATACCCATTGTATTGGTTAGCTCATTCCATTTAATTACCTTTGCCGGAGTTTAACTTCCGAGTTCAGACTTTCCAGACTTACATCGGACCTTGCAACTATTGCATTGCTCCATTCAGTTCCGCTATTCTCCCTCATTCCTATTTGGGCTACTGCTTCCTTTCTATTCAGTCAGCTAGCCATTCCCCACTCCCAACCTCCTTCCTTCCTCCTTGGGCCTTGGCCCTTCACTCCTCCTTTGGGAAACACCATTGAGTCAAACCCTTGACCCTCAGTGTTGTCCCCTCTTTCAGCTCCCTTTGTCTCCTTTTGGAGTACCCTCGCTCCTTTTGATTCCAGACCCCTCCTTATATACAATGTACATAGTAACTTGTAACCTCAGTCCGAAATCGGCCTGAATTCCCCCCAAGAGACTTTCCCTCTGCTAGATCCGAAATTAGGGACCCCCAGGACAACCAGCAATGGCACAGCACTCCGCTTGAGTCGCTGAGGCTGAGGTCCTTCCACGCTAAGTCTCCGATTCCACTCCGGAGTCGTCCGAATCCACCCGGTTCTAACAGTCAGGTCTGAAGGTGAATATCAGAATGGGCGGCGGTAGGGTAGGACTCCAGAGGTGGTGAAGATGGGGGTCTGGGAGTTGGATCGGGATCGGGTATGTGCAGATATGACAACTTTCCTGTGTATCGATGTACCATTGACCTACCCACAGTGCACATACATGTCAGGGGACGACTCCCGGGTCCCCATGACCCTCCCCTATGGCCCACAGCCTCAGGTCTGGCCAGCCCTATCCAGGGCACAATCTACTGTGGGTAAGGAGATGAGAAGGAGGCTAACTTCTCATCTTCCCACAGTGGCCACAATATCAGCAAAACTTCCGGGGATACCCGGAAGTCACATGAAGGGGTAGGAACCGGGTCCGGAGCATGCGGCAGAGCCCCCATATTCTGCAATCACCTCCAACTCCCTTGATGGTCACCACCCCCTCAATTCAATATATTACCTACACCTCCCTAAGTACAGAACCCTGAAGGCTTCTGGACAGCTCCGATGTCCACTAGCACACTCCTGCCCCTGCTGGGCAATTCACTTGCTTGCCCTGAAAGCCTACCTTTGGGCCTATCCCTCCTTTCCGTTTCTGGGTTATAGCCTGCCATTCCACTAACCCCATTACCCGACTCGTTGGTAATATTCAGTTGGCTAATGTTTGACTCCATTAGCTCCACTCCATTTGGCCCTGCCATTCATGGGCCTGCCCTCACTGTAACTATATATACATAACTTGTAGATAGGTTACACCCTAGTGATAAAATCGACTAGAGTTGATCCCCCTTTTAGTTCTCGCTGCCAGTAAGTAAATTAGGGCATGGACATGTAACTTGGCACAGCGCTCCTGGCCTGAGTCGCTGAGGCTGAAGCCCTCCATCATGGAGACAACTCCTTCATCTCACTTCCGGTCTCTAACATACATAGAGTCACATGGCTAAGTGGCAACTTCCGGTTACTGCTTAACACCATTGTAAATATACACACCATTGTATCACTTATGGTCTGGTGTGCTGAGCAACCCCCCTGAGACCTCACATGTTCTGTGATCTTAGTATCAGCAGGATGAGTGTCAGATACACGGCAAGGAGGGCAGTGTCCCTAGACCTTTCCCTGGAAGGAGGCTGGAGGTAGAGAATGGGTGGAAGGACTGTGGCCTCAGCGACTTGGAGAGGAGCACTGTGCCTATGTTTGGTAACGCTTTAGGAGTCTGGTCCTTAACTTCAGAACAGAGGGCACCAACTCTGGGGGATAGTCTCATCGATTTTGCACTAAGGTGCCATCAACTACAGTACAGGACTTATAACATAATAGAAGACAAATGGGAACAAAGGGGAAAACCCAAGGGGGACTTACCCACTTGCCGGGTCAGCGAGCTCATGAGAGAATTGCCTTATGGAGCATTGTGGAGTGGGTAGGTGAAGGGTGGAATTAGCGACAGCTACTGGAGAGTGGGAAAACCTTTGTGGAGTGGGTGGAGGTAAGTGTCATGGCCCCACAAAGTCCTTGCCCTTCTACCACTTCCAGCATCTGCACCCCCATTCTTGTGCCCGTTGTTTGCACCTGTTATTTGCACCATTGTCCATCACTCAGCGGTGCCGATAGTGGTCCCCATCTACAGCCCCGTAGCGGCACCTCCTTCTTTCTCCCGCTACCACTTGAGTTCCTCAGCCATTTGGCCGATACCGTTTTATTCCTCTATTGACACTCAGTTACTCCTTTATTGACATTTGATTTATTTGTATATTGACATTCTGATCCGCCACCATATTGGCACCTAGATTGTCAGCTTATTCATTCTGCCTCCCAACTTCACTGTCCTCTGTTCCATTCATTTCTTCTGTTCCATTTCCCTGGTCCTTTTAGTTTTGTCGCACTTTCCTGCTCCCATCCTGCACCGGACCGGCTGGCCCCTTCTCTGTTCTCTTTTTGTACTTATACTTGTAGTTTACTGTTGATGTACCTCAGTTCGAATATCAACTAGAATCCCCCCCCCAAGTATTCTCACCTTAAGTTCGCCTCTCAGTTCCATCTCTGCTTAAGTCAACGTTGCAAGAGGGCTAGCGGCTCTCTATGCCGACTAAGCTCGTGGGGCCAAACTCTCCTAAACTCTCTACTTTCTCTCTAAACTTCGCTTGACTCTCAATCCTTAAACTCCGTGTGGGTTCTCCGGGATTTCCGCAAGGTCCGGGCTCAGCGTCCACTACTCACTCGTTGTGAGCTAGACAGCTGCCCTTATTTCTACTGTTGGAATTCCACTCACTCACTCCAACTCTAGCGCGTCCTAGCACCTTAGAGAATTTGGGGGAGGGGAGAACTTCTATTCCAAAATCCGGTATGTACAGGATATAAGGAACAATTATTTTTAGAATAATTGATGAGAAATATTGGTACCATATGGCACCTGCATACCTTATTAGGCAAAGTAATAAAAAAGGGTAACAGTAACAATAAAAGAATATCAATCAATATCTGAAATGATGGCAAAATATGAAAATAAGAGAAAATAAGCGATATCTCAATGGATTTACGGAATTAAGAGCCTAAATTGGAAATGTAGCCGGAGATAACTCTCACGCAGCCAATGAGCATTTTTACCAATTTATTAGACGCCGTGGGAACGAGTGAGGCTGGAATTCTGGGTTGCCGCCTGAGATTCCCACGCCCGCACATGCCCGTGACCTGCTGTGCCTAACTTCTCCAACACGGAACTCCGTCAAATCTCCACCGATTGGGACGTTCTTGGTATCGTCAGAATCGTACGAATTAGGACTATTTTTGGATACCAAATTTGTACCGAGTCGTCGCGTGAATGAAAGTTGTTTTCTGATCGTGGAAGTGGGTATCCGAGCCGAGTCTGTGCGTGGGCGATTATCCCGCCTACAACGTCACCACAAGGTACCTCCCACTAACTTGAAATATGGGACAGCCTAGAACGCGTGGCGCAATGCTCCAGCCAAGTCATTGAAGCTGAAGTCCCAACCACCACGATGCCTTGCAACGGAGTAGCTCATTAGCTAAGTGTCCACTCATGCCACCATACTCCACTCCGCTTCCTGTGAATACCTCGAATACAGTAAGGCGGAGTTGGTATGGATATGACAATGAGTTCCACAATTGCTAGTGGCTTGGGCCTGGGCTGACCATCCTTCAGGTATAATTGCTCAACACCAGAGCTGCAACACATGGGGCACCTGGAGGTGCTTGGCCATTTATCACCTCCTCCATCAGTTTCCTGGAACTGGACACAATCAAAACTCAACAAGATCAAATGAGTGGTGGCTCCTAGCATATACATACCTCCCTGTTAAGCCTTTTGGACAGTGAAAGTGATTCCAGTGGGCTTACCATTGACTCTACCTGTTGACTGGCAGTGACAGCAGCTCTTGAATTCTCACAGATTTTTTTTGTCAGAGAATCTTGGTCCTCCTTTGCATTTAGGATGGCCCCATGATGGAATTGAAACAGCAGGGCTATGGGTCTCACTGGGAAGAGATCTAGAAAACTCCTTCCATGGTCTATAGCCTGCAGGACTCCCGCTGACCAGGGATGTGGAATAGAGGTAGAGCAGGGACTTTGGCTTTGAATGCATCCATTGCGAGATCTTAGCGAGGTCCGAGACGAGAATTTGGACTTGTTTGTACTGTAAACATGAACAAATATTTTCCGCCCGAAGTCCCCCATCCATTCATTCAAACTGTATTGATTAGGTCACCCGTGGCAACCGTGAACCCTTTTCTAACTGCGACAACCATTCAGTAAAAATCCGCATTCATGAACCGAGGTTTGATTCCAGCCTCTCTATAATATTACGAAGTCATAGAGGCTGGAGTCCTGCCTAAGTGCAATTGCAGGAGGCCCCTTATAGAAAAACACCCTATCAGATAGGCTTAACAACGCAAAATGGGTACCCAATTGAGCCCCGGTTCTGTAGGTTCACTGTGCACGTCCACACCTGCTAAAGAGCAGCAAACACATAAATGACTGGGTACAAGAAGCGGGAAAATCAGATTCTGAAGCAGGTCATGCAGCTGCCAAGTGCCACAGGCTCAAAGATTGTAACCTCAAGCCCGGGGTTCCAATTGGCACGCCCCAAACGTCTCCGACAGCATGGCTAATTAAGGCACCCTTTAGGACGGAAGGAGGCACCAGATATTCCTTGTGAGCTAACTGAATGGCTAACGCACTCGCAACCTTAGCAGCTGACAGGCCAGTGCCACTCGCGAACTTCTGCGCGTTCGGGGCGCTGATATAAGGAACTACAAGACGGATGCCCTGGGCAAAAACAGTGATGAAAGCTCCATAGTTGGACCACGATACCATTTTGAAACAGTCCTCGATAGCGCCAATGGTGTTAGCCCCAGGAACAGAAGTAGGACTGAATAATCCTGTGTCCATTCCTCGGTTCCCTGCAGCGACTACAACGTGCAAACCATGGCTGATGGCAGTATCGATGGCTTCGTTAATGGCTAAATTGTAGTCGAAGGTAATGGTTACCAGTAGGATGGAATGGTGGCCAGACGATGCGGATCGTTGGACAACCCAGATGACGCCATCGATTACCTTGGACAGAGGTCCCACGCCTGCATCGGAGACAACCTTGACCGAATAAATGTTGGCCCCGGTCGCCTCGCTATACGGGTTCCCCACTGCTATCCCGGCCATCATTGTGCCATGACCATTGACATCATTCGGGGAGTAATCACTACCGGTCTGCACTCACAAGCAGGTATGGGTGAACATATATGACAGTGCATAAAGAGAGATACGCACATAACCATCATGTGCACGGCCGCCAAAGCAGAGGTGCCCAAAGAAGATACCGCTATCGAACAAATAAATATCCACTCCACCCCCATTCCCAAGTGGACCGTCGCGTCCTCCGAGTTCACCTGGGTCATCCCTTATTTCGGCTGGGACATCGTTGCACTCTGTCGCACACCCCTCATTCGCTTCGTGGAGGTCATCGTAAATGGAAGCTATGCCATCAGCTTCGACATATTTAACTTCGGGGCAACCGAAAATGCGAGAAAGGGGTGCTCCAATTGCGTGTGCGGAGTAGCCATTCAGGACTTCGAAAGTTAGCCTATCTTCGAGGGGAAATTCTCAAATATCAACTTACGTTCATACCGGTGATTGATTGAAAATTCTGACCCAGGGCTTCGGGTGGATATCCGAGTGATATCCTCGATATGACGTTCTATATCTTCGCCGGATTTCAGCACGCTAAGCAATGAGTCAGCCAGTATTATGCTATCCCATCTGTGGGACGTACACAATGTACGAGTCTGGCTTTACTGGACCCCTCGGCTTGGTACGAACAGAAGCAGCAAGGGCCGTTGTGATAGTGGAAGCGAATATAGTAATGGGAATGACCCTGGTTGAGAACTTCATTGGCTGACTGGTGAGAGCACAAGGAAGACTGAGAGGACGTCCGAAGAGCCATATATGTAGCATCAGCCCAATGTGAAACCTGGTTTTCGGCCTGGTCTGCACAATATACAACCTGATGGTAGACGGGCTGGTCCTGGGAAGTCATAGGGTCCTGCCCTGAAGCGGCAGAACTCTTCTTGCCTTGCGGGTTTAGTCACCATCAACGTTGCCGTCAGCTGAGACCTCACCCGAGTTTCTCAAATTGTTGTGCCTTTTTTTCACATTTGTCCACAATCGCACCGCAAATTGTGAATTCAGAACCACCGATTTACACTGCAGCGCTCGATATCGGTGGGATTTTAATCACATATCAGTTGGGAGACTGGAAAGCAGAATTTTACACAAATGTTACATCTCTCATGTAGCATACAAAGTCACTGCAACTTTTCGGAAGACAAATGCGGTTTCAATTCGGTATCTATACACATCCCAGGGTTGCTGAGGCTGGGACAGAAACGAGTGGCTCAGATTCGGATCAGAATCCGCGGATTTCAGAAGTTTGGAACCCATAACCGCATCTAGCAATTAGAAATCTGCGGATATGCATTAGGAAAACCCCAACACCGATTGAAGTGATTGAGATCATTTCGTTGTTACTGAAACTGCAATCAGCCGATGTAGATTACAATACATTGTGCTTTTATTCTATAGTTCCTCTTTCAATCCTCTCTGTGTACGCATGCAATCCAACATCTCTATGGACTCGTTTGCGGACGAATGCGGTGGGTGTCCGTCTCCACTTTCTCTCCATTCTCTTATCACTTTATCCTCAGCGATTTGGTCTCAAACGTTTTTAACTTCCGCCATATTGGCGTATTCTCATCTACTAATTGTGGATGCCCTGGCTTTTCTGTGAATGGTTTGACTGAGAATCGTCTTTGTGTTGGCCTACTTCGTCACCCCTTTTGGGGTGATTGATATCAATCCGGCTTTCCAGCCTGTGTCAATCTCCGTATCCAATTTCCCTTTTATGATCAGTACTATCGAACTGTATTCAATGTGGTCTTGTCTCCATCATGTCCGGTTCAACAGCGGAAATTGATTTGCCTGGCTTTATGTCTTTGCAGCTCGGCAGACTCCAAACGCTTAAACAACGAGAGTGTGCTTCGCATACTCTCCCATTTTCGACACATTGGCTCCTATTATCCTCATCATAAGAACATCTGTGAATTATTGGAATCCTTGGCTTATTCAGATCTTTGTGCTCTGTGTTTCTTTCACCACATTCCTTATCTCCAGCCCCTGCCTCTCAATCGCGAGCAAATGCGTTCTCAGTTGTTTGCTCACATCGCGTCTGTCACTCCCCCTTCTGCTTCCGAACCTAACATACGCTGTCGGCCGCTCATGATCACCGATGGTAATGATCACTATCAACTCACTCGGTTTCTGTCCGACATCTCTGAATCCGTTGTACATCAAAAATTTCTTCACAGAGTAATGTCTCACTTCCACATCCCATGCCCCCCACATTCCTCCGTGGCATCGTTACGACGTTCATTGCTTCACCTTTTTTACTTCAATGTCCGCAGCTCCTCTCGTGCCACTTATACTCCCCCTCTTGCCGCGGCCAATCAGTTAGATGATATTTATCACAATTGGCGCTTGCAATGTGCGTTACGATGGCCCTCCAGAATTCCTGACCACTGTAAAACCGAAATGGTGAAGCACTTTTTTGCGTTATTATCCTCTCGCTCATTGACTACTACAGTGTGCGCAGTGTGTGGGGCTGCAATGCTCTCGTCAGCGATGGTTCCAGAACAGCCTGATCAGCCAGGGGAGAGACCCTATAGGGTATCAATTTTGCGTTGTTATACATACCCTAGGGGGTCTCCCAATATGGGGGTCCCCCTATGGCCCCTTCTATATAATTATGAATATATTGTTATCAAATGGGGGTGGGCCCCTATTTTATATTGTAGCAGAGTCATCTGAACTATTGTTATATTCTTATGGACTCATTGTCTGTGCACATTGCTGGCTGCTGTCCAGAAGGGTGTCAAGACTGTTTCCCACGGTCCAGACACATTTTACATAGAAAAATGCAAAATACTTTTTCGGATGCGAGCCTTTTGGGATAACTCAATGTCTGTGCTCATGCTGACCACTGTCTAAAGGGGTGTCAGAACTGTTTCCCACGGTGTCAACACACTTTACACCAATGAATAGCCCATTTGAATAGCTTCCAAGATATATGATTTGAGACTAAATTGACCAACAGATTATTGAAAAAAATACTTTTTTAGACAAGACTGAATCCTGCAGACATGTCTTCTGAAATTCATGGACCCACCAGTTAGGCAGATTATTCATGACATTTGCACCACTATATGTACATACCCTGGGGGTCTCCCAATATGAGGGCCCCCAGATCCTTTTACAATTGTATTGCTATCAGTATGCCCAGAATTTACCTGTGTTGCAGTGCTCAACTATACACTCAATTGCAGAATTATGTTTACCCCCCTAAGTAACATATGGGGGCACCTAGGGGCCCCATACTGATAGCAATACAATTGTAAAAGGGTCTGGGGGCCCTCATATTGGGAGACCCCCTAGGGTATGTATCAGTGCAAATGTCATGAATAATCTGCCTAACTGGTGGGTCTGTGGATTTCAGAACACATGTCTGCAGAATTCAGTCTAGCTCAAACTCATGTCCAAAAAAGTATTTTGCATTTTTCTCGATAATTTATTTGTCAATTTAGTCTCAAATCATATATATTGGAAGCTTTTCAAATGGGCTATCCATTGGTATAAAGTGTGTTGACACTGTGGGAAACAGTCCTGATGCCCCTTTAGACAGTGGTGTTAGAACTGGGTGAGGGTGGATGATTCTGGAGGGGAACCGGAGACTTAGCAAGGAGGGACCTTGGCCTCAGCGACTCAAGTGGAGTGCTGTGCCATTGCTGTTTGTCCATTTGGTCCTTAATTTCATAGGTGGTGAGCAGGAAGTCTCTAGGGGGCATTTCAGGTCGATTTTAGACTAAGTGTCAGGGCCTGGCCTCCGTCCAGGGGCGGCCCTACCTCAGAGCTGGACACTTGCAGTGTCCCAGGTAGCCAGGTGCTGGATCCTATCCCAAGCTCCTCAAACTCACTAAGCGGGGATTGAGTTGTCATGTATTATGGAAGGTAGCTACAACTTGCCTAAGTGTCATATCCATACAATCCCGACCTCCGCTCCAGGCTCCCGGAACTCCGAACTCCGACTTCCGGAGCCCTACTTCCCTTCCATCACCTTCTCCTTGCCGACTCCCAAGAGGTTATCCCACCTCCGGCTTGGACACCACCTTCGGTCCGACTCCAGAACATTCCGGGTCCGACCCCAACCTCGACACCTTCCAGACGAGTACACAAACCCTATGCTCCCGACTCCGGACCTCCGCTCCGGTATCCCGTTCACGTCTCGTCTCCGGAACCTCCGGTCTTAGCTCCGACCTCGGACTTTGACCCCACCTCCGCTTATACCCATTGTATTGGTTAGCTCATTCCATTTAATTACCTTTGCCAATATTCCGGAGTTTAACCTCCGAGTTCGGACTTTCCGGACTTACTCCAGACCTTGCAACTATTGCATTGTCCATTTCAATTCCGCTATTCTCCCTCATTCCTATTTGGGCTGCTGCTTCCTTTCTATTCAGTCAGCTAGCCATTCCCGACTCCCATCCTCCTTCCTTCCTTCTTGGGCCTTGGCCCTTCATTCCTCCTTTGGGAAACACCATTGAGTCAAACACTTGACCCTCGGTGTTGTTCCTCTTTCCATCTCCCTTTGTCTCCTTTTGTCCTACCCTTGTTCCTTTTGATTCCGGACCCCTCCTTATATACAATGTACCTAGTAACTTGTAACCTCAGTCCAAAATCGACTGGAATTCCCCCCCAAGAGACTTTCCCTCTGCTAGATCCGAAATTAGGGACCCCCAGGACAACCAGCAATGGCACAGCGCTCCGCTTGAGTCGCTGAGGCCGAGGTCCTTCCATGCTAAGTCTCCGATTCCATTCCGGAGTCGTCCGAATCCGCACGTTCTAACACTAAGTGGGGATTGAGTTGAGAAGAAGGGTAAGTTTCCCTATTCCCCGCTTGGCTGCTATAAAAGGAAATGTACTGTACAGTTCGTAACATGACTATGGGTAGAAGCCGAGCATGTTCCCGTTGAAGGAGGAGAACAGAAATCCTATAAAAGGCGTGTGTGTGTGTGTGTGTGTATTCTCGATATTTTACTTCCCAGACAGGCTGCCCGATTAAGGCGCCAAGGGGAAGGGGCGAGGCCCAAGGCATATTATCATACATGTTTCTATACTCAAGTTCCACATGATTCTAAGCTCCCGGATAACACCAACATCGTTCGCCAATGCCCGGATTCGCGACTGAACAATCCAACTTCTTCTGAATTGTGACAGTGGTAGACCGTATCACATGAGCCTGTTGTGCTGCAGGTGATCCCCTATAGAACGTCTGGGTCCATGCCAATTGAACTCCTAACTCCTGGCCGGTTGTGCCCATGAGAGGCCCTTTTCGGGTAGTGAATAGAAGACTTAGTCATATGATATGAACCTTTTCTATACTCAATGTAATCGGTAGTGGAGAAGTTGGTGATCAGGTGATCATGAGACCGGCTCCTCGGCTTGTTGGCCCGACGCATAAACACGTGCCTCTTGAGTCTTTGGAGAACCGCGACCTCCCAACAGGTGAGTCGAACCAACGTCCTCTCAATCGGCAAACGCCAGCGAGAGAGTAGATTGGCGGGTGTTACCACTATACCACCACTCCTCCTCCTATAAAAGGCTGTTCTTTCTTCTGATACTTATATGTTAGTATTGGTACTTTAACTCAACCACTGTAGCGTTTTGGTTGCTTTGTGTATTGATATTTGTATGTGTTACTGATTATTTGTGTGTGTATGAAACTCTCAGGGTTCAATTCACTTGTCTACCTGATTGTTCCACACGAAAATCATGCTATAGACCTACTATTTTCAGTCGTTTCACCTCTGTCTTGTCACTTTTAACTCGGAGCGACTCCAACCGACTTGACTCAATGTCACTATTTCTTAACTTCTTCTTAACTTTTTACTGAGGGTTGATCACTTTTACTCAGATGTGATCTGAACTGCACACTTATACTAATAAAACTTAATTTTTATTAGGACGCCTTATGACCTATGAGCCAGAGCACATAGGGGAGAGGAGTAAAGAAGGAAGAGGGGTCAGACCAGAAAATGTGGTCTTTTATACCTTTCCTAAGGGCTCTGTTTTCACATGTCACTTTACTATTTACATTGCTGAGTAATCTTATATTGAGCTTAGTAATCCTCTTATGTAAGCGATCAGCATCCCATTCAACTTCTAGAACTTTCTGGAAGTTTTGGTGTGGGAATTAGCCGATTGCATTGCCTAACACCCGTCATGACCTTATTTACCCTTGTTTACTCACTTTATTCTAAGTCACATGTCATGGGGTTATTTGTTAGCTTAAGGGTATAGCTTTCTGTTGATATAAACAACAGTAAACTATGAGGATTATTCATGAAGATATGAATTTCTCAAGATTTAATTTTGAGGTTCTCCAGATTGCTTTGGCATTAGCTCATCCATTTTCCTACAATTAATTCTGGATAAATTATGCCTTGTTTCTGGACTCGAACTCTTTAGTTTCGCATTTCTAGCTCATCCGTTTTAACCACAAACTCAGGATGTTTGAGCCAGTCTTCTCTGCAAGTGTGTTTTAATCTTGTTAAATCCGTTTCTCCCTCAATTCTTCAGATTTTAACATAAAATCTTTTTGTACACAGACCTATACTTCAACTCTTTAAGACCGACAAAGATTCATATTTTTCCCTATTTTCCTCATATAAATATTTCCAATTCTTTCATCTTTTCCTTGTACCTAACCATTTTTCATTATGTGAATGCCTTGATTTTCTTCCGATTTCTCTTTGTCATTCGTTTCGTACGTTCGTAAAAATATTTTCCCACGTTACCACGAATTTCTAATATTTTATTTGATACAGGAAACCTTGTTTTTATTTTCATGTGGGTTTATTTGCTGTTTTTCTTCATTTTCTGGACCATCTTTTAATTCCCAGACTTGAAAGTTCGCGTAGATACTCAATCCATCGACTCTGTTCTTCAGTATTTTTTCGATATTTTATTTCAATTCATTTTGTTGAGTTATGATTTTATTCCTATTTTTATTTCTGGTCCGTGGAGGTTGTATGATTTTTGTCCAATTTTCTGTGATGGTTTCTGGTTGTTTTAGTGTTGTAACTTTTATATTCCTACACCGTGATGTGGAAAAGGTGTCACATGGGTTAAGGCGAGTTGCTCACCTTGACCCACGTGATTTTTCCCACGGGTTCGCATGTGGGCTGTAGTTGTGAAAGATGGGAGGATGAGGGAAGTGGGGGGAGGTTTAGGGAAGGTGGTTCTGGGGTTGTATGGTCAGGTGTGGTTGCCCTGACACTAAGGCCTCAAACAAGTATGTCAAGCACCAATATATATAATGGAGAGGGCAAAAGCACAAGGAAACAAAGGTGGTCCGAATCGGAATGAAGGCGTCCAAACGGGAACAAAGGGATGACAGAAGCGGAGCGGTACTGAAGGTCATGGGGCAGAACCTGTGGTACATCCGAAAGGAGGTAAGGAGGGCGAAGCCCAGAGGGGCAGGAGGATGAGGGGAAGTGGGGATGATGACTAACTGGCTAGAATGGGAAGAAGCAGCAGTCCAAATAGGGATGAGGGGGAAATGCGAAAGATACATTACAAGCGGTGAAAGTACCAAAGGTGATCCATGGAGCTTGGGGGTTACGGAGGTGGGGTTGAAAGTCCAAGGAATATTGGCAATGGTGTTTACGTAGTATGAGGTCACCAATGCAATGGACTAAAGCCAAGGTGGAGTCAAAGTCCGAGGTAAGAACTATGATGGAGTCTCGGAGCAAAGGTACGAGCGGTGTCTGAGTATGAGGTATGGGACAGTGGCAGAAGGTCGTAACTTGGCAGAAGGTCAGTGGAAGAGGGCCAGAGGGAAGAGAGAGGAAAGAGGAAAGTGGAGAGGAGTGGAGAGGAAAGGTGTCAGGTCTGAAGGTGAGTATCGGAGCGGACGGGCGAAGGGTAGGAGAATGATGGGAGGGTGGAGGTGTTGTGAGGAGGAAGAGCGGTGTTCGGTCCGAGGTGAGTATCGGAGCAGACGGAGATGGGACAGGAGAAGGATGGAGGAGTGGAGGTGGCATGAGGGGTGTGGTGTGGTGTGGTGTCAGGACCGAAGGTGAATATCGGAATGGACAGCAGTAGGGCAGGACTCCGGAGGTGGTGAAGAAGGAGGTCTGGGAGTCAGGTCAGGATCGGGTATGCATGGATATGACAAGTGGTCAGCATGAGCACAGACATTGAGTTATCCCAAAAGACTCGTCTGAAAAAGTATTTTGTCTTTTTCATCGATAATTTATTGGTTAATTCAGTCTCAAATTATCTATCCAACTATGTAAATGTGTCTAGACTGTGGGAAACAGGCTTGACACCCCTCTGGGCAGCAGCCAGCAATGTGCACAGACAATGAGTCATGGGTTAAATGACCACAAAATAATAACATAACAATAGTTCAGATGACTCCGCTACAATACAATAATTTCAATTGTGGGGGGCCCCCAATACAAAAGAGCCTCTAGGGTGGGTTTAGCAATGCAAAATCGATATAGGGTCCCACCCCTGGCTGAGCAAGGTGTCCTTGTCATGTTGTGTCCCAATGGAATTGTCCACACTTCAACCTCCAATGTCTTGGTCTGGATGTGCTGCAAATGCAAACACACTTTAAGTCATGGTCATTTGCCTAATACTGCATTGGCTAACAATCTGTTCTTCAGTCCCATTCCTCCCCAATTAACTGGCCCATCAACATGCCAAATCCTGGATTATCCATTTGTGAGATGGATCCATATTGAATGCTCATTCCATTGGCCTGGCTGCACCCTCTTTCAATTCTACTGCTCAACATGCATTGAAAGGGCATATTATCGTTTTCCCTGTGAATGTCAAGATGACGTTCCTTAGGATAGGTCCGATCGCTATCCAGGTGATGCTGTCAGGTGGAGCTTGGTGTTCCAGGTCATCCGATGGTGGGTCAGAGACAGACTGGAGGTGGGGCGGAGCTCTGAGGGTGATGGGGTGTTGAAGGGACTCAGCTTCAGCAACTCAGAATGGAGTGCTGTGCCTGGTACGTTCTCATTGTCCCCAATTTGTCAGGGGAGCTGGCGATGGAGGAACCAAGGCTGCCAGCAGAAGGGGGCCAGAGGCCCCCCCCCCTCACTACTTAACAAAGGAGGTGTTAGTGAGGGTCAATCATTCGTCACGTGATTCGTTTGGGTTTTATTCCATGGTGTCTCTAGGAGCGTGTCAGGGCACAAGCCCTGGGCCCCCATTACATGTAGTCCCGTTGTAGATTAGTGTCACATGACAGGCGACGGGTTGAAACCGATCGCTTATCACCCCGTAATACCCACACCTTTGTGACACTTACGGCCTGGTGACCTGAGCGAGCCCCACAGACCTCACACTTTTTTAAGTGCATGAGGTGTGATTAAAACTAATCTACACATCCTTTTTACATCTGTTCCGGGGACAGCACCCGACATGGCACCGTCATACCCCCAAATGGGGAAGCTCGCATCTGCAGCAAGAACAAAGGGTGGCTTTGTTAAAAAGCCACTGTAGGAGAAATAATATTCAAAGAATAAAACAATGATCTATCAGAATAGTCAACGAACAGGTGACAAGTTCAGACGTTTAACAGATCTCATGATCTTTATGAGACTGGACAGACATTAGATCATTATAAATTATCTACACCCATGTAGTATGAGATTTAATCTACTACAATCATGCCTAGAACTTGGCATAGGTGTAATATTCAAAGAATATAACCCTACAACAAGAAAATAGCACATAGACAGCAGAATAAGAAGGAACATTGGGAAAGAAATGTGAATATCTCGGGAACCAGTAAACTTTTGACTGTAATCTTTTTACCATTTGAAAGGACTGTTTCTTAACTTTATCCACGGTTTTGTTTCATTCTAAAAGCTTCAAAACTGACGGAGATATCGCTCAAACGGCGAAACACCTTATAATTCATATATATTTATTTGCTAATTCTTACAAAAAGTAATGTGACTCAAGGGAAATATATTGGCGCCCGGAAGTCTGGCGGACCAAATACCATATGATAGAGTATTCCCCGGCGCGGGCGGACAGTTTTTGATCGCATCAAAAGAGGAGAAAATGCTAAAAAACCGGATCTTGTATATTTTCCCATGATTCATCAAAACTTTTTGATTTTAAGCTCAAATAAATCGGAACAAAAGAATGATTGATGATCTGGATCTCGGATCATAAGCATGAAGTGA